AGAACGTAGTAGAGAGATAGACTATGGAGAAAAATGAAGAACTGGCGAGTAAACACAATGAAGTGATAAGAAGTGGAAAATAGAACGATTTGATTATAATGTTACAGAGGCCAACGAAAGCTATACTCTAGCGCTATACGTGGCTCAACCGAGATAGAGAGAGAGAGAGAGAGAGAGAGAGAGAGAGAGAGAGAGAGAGACAGACAGAGAGACAGAGAGAGAGAGAGAGACAGACAGAGAGACAGAGAGAGAGAGAGAGACAGACAGACAGAGAGAGAGACAGACAGAGAGAGAGAAGCACGGACCTTAACCAACTGGGGTGTGAGCATGCATTTCAAGAGAGAGAGAGACAGAGAATTTAGAGGGTGTGTTCTCACCGAATTTGCGGATCCACGCTAAAACGTCCAGTGCAAATCTATTCCAGCTTGCTACTTTTCGGTAATTAAGGAGGGCTGTTTCTGAGGCATAGCATGCAGCCGAGAGTCTCGACTTCTCATACATGCATTCGACGATCCCCGCTGCTCCAAGGCTAGACAGCTATTGCCTTTCCCTTCCCCTGTCGTCACTATCCGGAGACTGCTGCAGCTTCAGGAGAAATAGAAACCACTTACCCCCCCGCTTGATGCCTCGCGTTTCGCCTCCGTACAAGAAATTTGTCTTTCCCTCAGCATCCTGCACACCCCGACACTGCCATCAAACCCTTTGGTTTGTACGTCGCAAGGAGGCACATGTATTTGCACTGCCCTCTTTCCCCCCACTGGCGCTACTTCTGAGCCGTGTGCGTGCATGCATGCATGCATGCACGCATCGCAGAGTCTAAGACTTCTTAGAGCCTTGCGCGAGCTGAACGAGGGGCGACGCCTGGCTGGATTGGGGAAGAAGAGCTTGAGCGCTTCTTCTTTTGTTTACTTCGTATTGCAGCAAGAGGGGCAAGTAATGCCGGTGAGGATGCGTGGCTGCTACACGCGTTGAAACGTCTACCATGACGCGCATGCCTTCGCGATGGCACTCCTGAGAAAAAGTTGCAGCAATACCTCAAACAAATGCGCTGCATCCTGCTTTCTGCCTACTGGCCCACACCTGAAGGATAGGACGAGGCTTATTTCTTCTTTTTTTCGGCGTGATTTCGAGGCTTCTGGCAGGCAGGGAGGAGAAGGGAAGGGGTGTTGGCGCGATTTTAAGTATCCTTCTGAAGGTGGAAGGCAGGGGTGAGGAGGAGACTGCTGCGCGCTCCTTGTCTAGGGGGAGAAAGGGGAAGGCAAGCAAGCGGGGTAGCAAGAGGGGAGGGGGAAGGAAGAAACAAAGTCGACGCTTCTCGAAAAGATTTCGATCGAAGACATACTTGCACCAATTCGAAGAATCCAGAGGATCCTCCCAGGAGAGCGCAAGGGCTTGCCCTACATGGCGATGCGAATGGAGTTGCGTCTGCATTCTCGTAAGAAACGTCCTCTGCAGACAGGCAGGCAGAGAGACTAGTTGGCTGGTTGGCAGACAGACAAGTTAACAGACAGACAGGCTGGCAGACAGACAGACAGGTTGGCAGACAGACAGGTTCAGCAGAAATTTCCATCTTGCGCATGGACTGTGTGTGCAGGCGACGCGTAATAATGGCGGATCTGATCCTGCAAAGCGACGAATGCTAATGGAGATTCTCAGAGAAAGACAAGACTGCATACTGCGGCATAAATAGTAGCACGGCGAGGGGAGAAGCTGCTTCTATGCCAGCCTTCGCGATTGTGAGGCATGCTTCAAAGCAGCGCTCACCTAGCCGCGTATACACGGGCATGCCAGTTGCTCTTTCCTGAGCACCGCTGACAAACAGCGCGTTGATGTTGAGACTCCGCAGAGATCGCGCACTGCTGGCTACACTCTCGAAGGAGCCTCGCTGCGTTAAAGCTCCTGAGACAGCAGACACGCATACACACAGACAGACACAGATATCTATACACCCAGACACTATATATATATATATATACACACACACACAGACAGACACAGATATCTATACACCCAGACACTATATATATATACACACGGACAGACACAGATATCTATACACCCAGACACTATATATATATACACACAGACAGACACAGATATGTATACACCCAGACACTGTATACAAATATATATATATATATATATATATACAGACAGACACAGATATCTATACACCCAGACACTATATATATCTAAATATACACACAGACAGACACAGATATGTATACACACAGACACTATATATATACACACAGAGGGAAACAGATATCTATACACCCAGACACTATATATAGATACATATATATATATATATCACAGAGAGACACAGATATCTATACACCCAGACACTATATATAGATACAGACACTATATACACATATATATATGTACAGCAGCAGAAAACTATGTACATGCAGATAAATATATATATATATATAAATATATATATATAGCCCTCGATTTGCATGCACGCTCGAGTGTTCACTGATCTCGAACGCCGACAGTCTCTCTCTCTCTGTCTCTGTCTCTGAATTCGTTCTGTAAAAGAGGAACGCCATATTGGGCAAAAAAGCCTTAAGAGGCCTGAGAGGGCGTCGCGCTCAGCAGGGAGCAGGGAAAGACATGCATCTTTCGAACCTGTTTCTTCATGCCACTGTGCCTCGTGCTGATCGACGAAGATTTCATGAGGCTGAAGCTCTCGGTAACCCTCCGGCAGTACAATGACTCGACCCTAGAAGACAAGCCCAGCACAGCCTCATCGCAAGCCGGTAAAAATGTTTTTTCAATTGCGCATGCACGAAGTACCAATTTCTTGGCTTCAGTCCGGCAAGAGACGAGCAGCCCCTTTGAGACTGTCTGCTGATCAACAGCCTCAGATTTCGAAGAATCCTCACTTGGAGAGGGTAACACTCGTCAACAGCTACTCCTGCCTGCTGCTGGAGGTGCTGCTGGCGCTGCCTCAACGCATGCGCAGCCGCTGCAGCGGCACGACCCCCTTTGCCGCTGCCGCTGCTGCTGCTGCTGCCCCGAGCAGCAGCAGCAGCAGCAGCAGCAGCAGCCTGCCGCCTGCCGGCGCTCTCAACTACGGACCTGCGTGCAGCGCAAAACATCCGAAAATTTGTGAGCGAAACTCACGGCGCACAAAGTGCACAAAGAGACACCAGAAAGGGGCCGCAGACTCTGAGAGCTGCACGAGAATCCTTGATGACACATCGCCATTTCTGCAACTGGCATAGGGTGGGTGGCAGGGGAGGCACCTCAACGAGCAGCGCCTCTTTGAGCCGTGACATAGAAGGACGGAAGCGCAAAACACGGCTTGAGGTGTATATATTGTATGTGCGCGTGTCATATAACAATGCTCCATATAATAATGCGTCAGGTATCTATCTGCACATCTTGGCGTATCTACCAGGTGCCTTCTTGTTCGTTGGCTCTGCAAATCCTCCAATCAAAAAATCCGCATCTCGTAAAAACGCCAAAGTCAACTCGACCGAGCCACAAGGTGCTGCGCTTCTTAGGCTCTCCATCCTGCTGCTGCTGCTGTTGCTGCTGCTGCTGCTGCTGTGCAGCAGATGTTGGATCTTGTTGCTGTTGCTGATGAGGCTGCCACGCTGAGGCCGACCCTGGGGGAGAGAGGGTATGCGTGTCTGGTGCTGTTGCAGCAGCTGCTGGTGCTGTTGCAGCAGCAGCTGCTGCTGCTGCTGCCTGTGGCGGTGCAGCAGCAACGCCTGCGGCAAAGACGGGTGCCTTGCTTGAGGATCGGAAACTTGCGGCTTTTCGCAGCAATAGCCGCTCCTCCTTCTGATCTTTCAGCTGCTTCTGCAGCTGCTGCTGATCCTCTCGGCTCTCAATAGGCCGTTCCCACTGTAGTGGATGATAAGAATAAACACTCATCCTGCATGCGCGATTGAAGGAGGGGGCAACGAGCACCAAGAATATATCCTCAGGGCCGCTGCTGCTGCTGCTGCTGCTATTGCTGCTGCTATTGCTGCTGCTGCTATTGCTGCTGCTGCTATTGCTGCTGTCTACTTCTATGAGCACCTCAATCACGAACCGCTCACCGACAGCACGCACCACAGGCTCCAATGGACGCCGCAACTGCCAGTCGTGTCTGTGAATATCACAACGCCTAATCCCTAAACGGCTTTGTGCGTGGACGCTAATTTTGATGCCGACGGCTAACACAAATGCAGGCTTGACACAGGTATAATCATCGCGTGCAGCAACACGCACACCCTGCCCCTAGAGCTCCCCTACTTTGTTACCTCGCTCTTCTCTCCCCCTCCAGCCTTCCCTTCCCTCCCTTCCCTCCAGCCTTCCCTTCCCTTCCCTCCCCCCTAAATACCTATCATAGAAGGCATTCAACAGTTTAACTGCTTCAAGACGAACTGTCTCCTCGCTGCTGCCGAGCAGCGCCACCAGCAGCTGTTCGAGTCTTGCGCTGCTGGTGTTACTGGTGTTGCTGCAGCAGCACGATCCCCCGCAGCAGCTGCTGCAGCTGTCTGTGGGTGCCTCGGGAAGAAAGGCGCTGTGCCAGACATCCCCTGCCAGATCCGACAATGTGTCCTGAGCACAAGATCGCAGCTCAAAACACCACCTCCTCCCCAATTCGCATGCGCTCCCTGCTTGCAGTAAAGCCGCACACTCTTCAGCATTCGGCAGTCTCGCCTTGCCTGCCTTTGATCAGCCCCTCCCTATCCCCCTTTCTTCCCTCCCCCTCCCTCTAGATCGCTCGCCTTGATCGCTTCTCTCGTGGCGGAAGTCAAAAGGGCTGTAAACCAACGCAGTTTATTCTGGCAAAAAAAAGGAGACAGTCCGCATGCATTCCAAACCCTTAGGCCGTGCTGGCCTCGCCGGCGAGCCATCTGAGAACAGACACACACACACAGAGACAGAGACAGAGATATACATAAAACATACATATGAATATATACATTCACGCGTGTAAACAGGTATGCATACACCTCTACATACAGGTATATATGTATCTCCATTTATACACACATGCATCTAGACACACATCGATATGTATGCACACACATGTATATACATGAACATATATACATACATGTATACACACACTGCATACATCTATACACACATTGCATACATTTATCTTTACACACATTGCATACAGCTTTACACACAGACATACATCTTTACACACATTGCATACATCTATCTTTACACACATTGCATACATCTTTACACACATTGCATACATCTTTACACACATTGCATACATCTTTACACACAGACGTACATACATTTATCTTTGCACACATACATACATCTTTACACACATACATACATACATACATCCATATATACACACGCACATCTTCACACACATCCATACATAAATACATCCACATACACACACATCCATCTATACACACATATACACATCCTTACACACATTCATACATACATGCATCCATATGCACACACATATACACGTATATTATAACATGCACAAGACAGTAGATCCCATCGTGCGCCACCCTCTTGAAATATGTGCATCGTCAAAAGAAGCTCAACTTTCGGAATGCCGCCAACGCTTGCAAAGGCAGCAATTCGCAGCTAAGACGCTATGTGGCCGCGTAGAAAAAGACACGCTGCTCATTTGCTTTACCTGTCTGCTGCAAAGCATGAAGGAAGGAACTTGAAAGACTTCCGAAACTGCGCGGAGGCACTGCAGCAACTGCGCTTGCTCTTTCTCTTGCTCTTGCTGTTGCTGCTGCAGCTGCTGCTGCAGAGTCTCTGCTCCATCGAGAATCAGGGAAGCCATGAGAGCGAGGAGATACGCATCGAAACGTCCCCGCGATTCGCACGAAAAACGCAAAAGATCTGAGTCTAGCCACAGCTCTAAACAAGTCCGCTGCTGTTGCTGCTGCTGCTGCTCTGTCGTGTTCGCGTGCTTCTTTTGCTTCCGAGCTCCCGAGGAGGGAGACTGCTGTCTTGCCGCAGTCTCCGGTTCCTGTGCGGCTTGTTCAGACGTCGAAGCCTCTGATGGTCCCCCTGCTTCTGCCGAGAAAGCTGCAGGACTGACGCGCAAGAGGTTCTTGGGTAAAGAGAAAGACTGGCTTGCTGCTGCACTGCCTTGCTGCTGCTGCTGCTGCTCCCAGCATCGAGGCTCTATCAGCAGCACGATGTCGAAAGGCAACAGCTGCTCCTTCGCAGCGCCATCCTTTGCGGCAAACTCCCCAGGACTGCCCGACTCTGCCCCCTGGAGGCAATCCAGCAGATATTCTACGTCAACGCATGCAAAAAACACATTCAGGAGATGCCTGCTGAGCTGCATGCTCTAAAAAAAGGCCACCAATCGGGCAGCAGCACCCACCGGAAAAATACGCAGCAGTAGAATGCGAACACACGAATACACACATGCATTTATACACACACATATGCACATATATACACATACATATACATATATATATATATATACATATATACACATACATATATACATATATTCACATACATATATACATATATATACATATTTATACATATATATATATACATGTATACACAAACACACATACACACACACGCAGGAGGAGCCGGAGCAGCTAATGGCTACGAATAGGGAGTTGCCTTAGTGTGGGGGCAGAGCCTGCATTCAGAGTTATTTTTTTTTTTTTTTTTTTATTTCTCTAGCTGACCACTGCTCGTTCCTGGAGGCCTCATGCGTTGTAACAAGCAACAGAGCGACGTTGTTTCGAATTCATTGGTGAGCAGCTTAGGGTTGCTGCTGCTGCTTCCTCGGCTGTCAGCTGTTGGATCGGTGTTTACGCCGATGGGCCCCTGCTGCTGTTCGTCCTTGTGCTGCTCCTGCACCACCCCTTTGTGGGGAGACTGCAGCAACATCTGTTGCTGCCGCTTTGTGAGCAGCTGCGCCAGACATTGGTGAGCCTTCAGGAGAATAGCCGTCAAGTTGCTGCTTGCTGCTGCTGCTGCTGCCCCCCCGTCAGCGGTCTGTCCAGCAACTGCTGCTGCTGCAGCCTCTGCCTGCTGCGTGCCGCACTGGGATAGCAGCAGCATCAGTTGCCGTTGCAGCGGCTGCAGCAGCTCTTTTTGCTGCTCGATCAGCAAGTGCTGCTGGCTGGGAAGGTAGGAGGAAGCAAACAGCTTGGCTGCAGCGTCAGGAACGTGTTGCACACACATGCAGACACACAGGAGGGGGATGCGAGGATGCAAGTCTGGCAGGGGTCGTGTGTCTACATGCGTCGCAGCAAGAGCTTGCGGTTCGAAGTCGATAGGGAGAGGCCTACGCTGTTTTTCTAGCTGCAGCAGCAGGCGGAGCAGCTGCTCAGACACCCGAATGCGCAGTGGTGCATCTTGAGCTCCAGTGTCATGCTGCAGCTGCTGCTGCTGCTGCTGCTGCTGCAGCTGCCGCTGCAGCTGCTGCTGCAGCTGCTCGTTGGGCCAGCTGCTCCTTTCCATCGTGCTGCTGCAGCTGCTGCTGCTGCTGCTGCTGGCGGGGTCGTACCCTTGCTGCTGGTGTTGCTGCTGCATGTGCTGCTGCTGCCGTAGCCGACGGATTGCGGAATGTTGTGGCACACGGCTATTTCATGCTGCTGCGATTTCTGGGGTCTTGGTTTCGGTTGTTGCTGCTGCTGCTGCTGCTGCCGTTCGCCGTTCGCTGTCCGCTGCTGCTGCTGCTGCAGCAAGGGAATAACAACTGCTGTGTGTTGCGGTTTTGTCTCTGGAAACTCCATGAGAAAGACGCAGACGCCCCTATTCTTTTGGGGTGTCCCAGCATCGCATGTATCGCCTCGCTTTGCTGCTGCCGCTGCTGCTGCTGCCGCTGCTGCCTTCGCGGAGGCGGCTGCTGCTCTGCTATGGAAGTAGCAGCCGCAGCCGACGGGCAGCAGGGAGCTGAAGCTTCGTCCCAGCGAGGGAAATAACCTTAAATTCTATTTTTTCTCGTTATTTTCAGTGCCTACTGCTCTCTCCTTACTTTCCCCTTGACCGTCAACTGCAGCAACCCGAGAACAACCTCGAGGCTCCTACACTCAATGAAAGAGAGATCTTCTCTAAACAGGTTCTGTTGCAGGGGGTGACGTGTAATTCTTGCAGCTTTCGCATTTCTTTTCGGGGATGCTGTACTACAGCTTCCAGCACGTCGCTTGATGCCGCTGCTCCCGCTACCTCTGCTCCCTCGGCTGTTGCTGTTGCTGCAGCTGCATGCTGCATGCAATGCAGCGGTGATAACTCGGCACCCTGCGGGATTTTGTTCGCCAACGGCGCTTGAGCGCAGCAGCGATGGGAACGCTTCTCCTCAGAGGGGTTGCACGGGGAGTGGCATGCCCAGCCGCAGCGGAATGAAAGGGCCCCTGTCGACAACCCCGCTGTACGTACACCCGAAGAACGCCGCAGCAGCAGTAGGAAATGAGAAGCCTCTGCTGCGGGTGGGGAGTCGGTGGTCGCCCCTGGCGTTGACACAGACGAAAGAAGTTCTCCGCAAGCTCGTGTTTGCTGCTCCGAACAAGTTTCCAGCGGCAGTTACTGCCTTCCTCCAAGAGGACGAGGAGCAGAATCAGCAGACTCAGCAGGAGGATCAAGTGAATGAGGCATTCGCGAGCAACGCAGCGGGGGCGTTACCAGTAGCGGCTGCAGCTGCGCTGCGGCAGCGCCTGCGGTATGGCGAGGTCGAGGTCGTCCCCTATCAGACTGCGGCAGATCGCCAGTTGCAGCAGCAGCTGCTGCAACTTGGAGGCAAAGGGCTGTTCAGCAAGGAGCTGGACGAAGGTCTAGAACGGAAGGAAATAGACTTTGCTGTGCACTCCCTAAAGGACGTTGCCTCCACCCTTCCCCAAGGCTCCGTTTTAGGGGCTTTGCTCCCTCGCGAGGATCCCAGAGATGCGTTACTTTTTGCGAATGCAAGACAGCAAACAGTCTTGCAACCCTTGTTGCAAGCGCTTGCAGCTGCGCGTCCCCCCTTCGCATGCAGCGACGCCATGACCGTTAGAGATATCAGCACCCCGTGTGCCAGCAGCGGCGCTGGTGAAATTTTAATCGGCAGCTCTTCGCTCAGAAGACAGTGCATGCTGCAGTTTCTTTATGCGCGCAACGCCGCTGCAGCGGCAGCAACAGCAGCAGCGTCGCAATTGCGCTGCGTGCTGCTGCGAGGCAACGTGCAGACGCGGCTACGGCGGCTGCGGGAGGGTGTAGCACAAGGCACTCTCCTCGCTGCTGCAGGCCTCCTTCGGCTGTCTCTGCTGCAGCGGCAGCAGAAGGGACAGCCTGAACAGTCGCGCGCACGTTTTTCGACGGGTGCCACATCGCGGGAGGGAGGAGTGGAACTGGCGTCTCTCGCGACTCCCGCATACGGGGATGTTGCGGCAGTGCTGCTGCCCCCCTCCGTTTTTATCCCCGCTTTATGCCAAGGGATAGTAGCTGCGCAGTGCCGCAGCGATGATTGCGAGACTTTAGGCCTCTTGCAAGCCATCTCAGACGAGGCAGCAGCCACTGCAGCCGCCGCTGAAAGAGCTTTTCTGAAACAGCTCGACGGCAGTTGCAGAACTCCCCTTGGAGGCATCGCCATGCTGCAGCCGCACCCTCCGCAGGGTGGAGGCAGACGCGGAGAGCAAGAGGAACGAGAGTGCGAGACGCAGCAGCAGACGCAGAAGCGTCTAGAATTCAGAGGCTTTGTAGGGACCCCCGATGGATCGCGCATGTTTCACGTCGGCGTCGCAGGAACTGTCTATACACCGGAAGAGGCGGCAGAGATCGGCGCCGCAGCAGCAAGGGAGATACAGCGGGTGGCGGGGCCGCACTTTATTTCAGACATCATGGAAAAAGTGCAACGGGGGTGGGGAGCACTTAAACACGGCTCCCCGTCATGCTGAATCTCTGCCTCATGTACATGCGGGTGAGGGGTCAACCTAGAGACAGCGAGAGCACGAGGGACTGGCTGGAATTCATGAACTCGGGAGGAATAACAGAGCAGGGGGCCCGTTGCGCTTCATCAAAAACATGTTGTACACAAAACGCCGCTGCAGCAGCGCGGCAGAAACTAGGCTACTGTTTCGTCTTGCTCCCGCTGAGAAAGAGGTGTCGCCGCGCCCCCCTCGAATATAGGGAGCACTGAGAGACATTCCGCACCGAATTAACGTTTTACACACGCTATACTACAACAGCTGACGGATTTGCCTACATGCATGCAGCACACCTCATGCACGCGCGCAACTGCATATACAGCGTGCATACACCCACGCAAAAGACACTCAGACACACACACAGGCACGCTTATTTGAAAACCAGCTTGCAGCTTGCAGCAGCTGCATGCTGCTGCTGCTACAAGGTGCTCTGCATGTAGGCTGGCATGCGAGGGCACAAGCAATGAAGGGCTTGCAATTGTGCTCCTTGCACACTGCTGCATACACGCACAAATTCACTGACTAATGCACATCGCGTGCGTGCATGCATGCATGTATGTATGCATGCAGCCATGTGTGCAGGCGCCGTCAGACACTGCGGGTGCGTGCACATACACTGCATACATACAGATTTGCATATACGAGGCGCTACGCGAAAAGCCTATGCGTAGGACCTCCAGACGTGAGTGTGACGGGATTCGTGGGAGACCATGTGGGGAGAAGGAAGGGGGGAGTTGAGAGGGGCTGCTGCTGTTGCTGCTGGTCGGGAGAAGGCGCGTGAAGTCTGCAGCGCTGCTGCTGCCTTTGCAGTTGCGTGAGGGCCGAATATATTGCAGAGGTTATCCAGAGGGCCTCCGAAATGCAAACTGAGCAAAATATATAGAGACAACAGGCAGCAGCAAAACGGCATCTCCATGAAATCTGACGGTCCAAGGGCAGAAAGTGGGGATGATACGCCGTCAAGCTGGCGAGGAACCCCATGAAGTAAATGCACATACACCAACCGCCGGAGGGGCGAAAGCGTAGACACTGCGACTTTTTGTTGCAACGCAACTTGCAGAACGCAGGTGTCACATCATGATGACACGCCACGAAACCGTGGCCTGCCACAGTGCAGTGCAGAAACAAATTGCCAGCAGACAACGAAAGTCGTCATGCGAAAATCTACACCCGCCTCCGCAATCAGCGCATGCGCGCACACACACACTGTTTTAGTGACTAGACAAACAGCTACCCAGAGCAGTCGTCGCCAGCTAGCTGGATTGCCAGGGAAGCAAGAAGCTGGCAATGAACGGGCAGCATGAAGCCGCGCGAGTCTACAGAACAACCTACCCATTGCGCTGCCTTCAAAGAGTTGAACGTCGATAACGTAACGACAGCTGCCGACTTTGAACAGCTGAATCGCCAGAATGATGTCCTCTGTGTCGCATGCAAATTCGACATTGTTGGGGTGTGTGTTGCTGCTGTAGCTGGCAGGCGGATTGGCAGCCTCCTGCTCGGAAGCCGGCCGAAGAGGGCGACATCGCAATTTGTACTGTGACAGCAGATACCACTCATAGTCGCACGCCTTCAGGGTGTTCAAGATCTGCGACAAACAAATGTGTCTCGCAGACCGCCAGCTACAAGGTGCATCCAGCATGCACATCAAATACGAGGGAGACAAGCCCGCAAGAAAATGCAGCAGAAGGTCTTTAGGTGTGCCCCTTCCTTAGCAGATCAAGTTTTTTGCATGGCGGATGTGTTACCGCATTCTGCTTTCCTTGTTAGAATCCTTCTCAGCGTGCTCTAGGGAAAGCATCAACTTCTAAGCTCGGGAAAGCTACAGGGAGAAGAGCAGCGCAGCCACTCAAGCTAGAGACTAAAGAAAGCGGTTAGATCAGGATACGAACTGACGGCAGTGATAAGGATAGGCGCATCGAAAGCGGCCTCAATCCCAAGCTTCCACCGCGCAGTAGACCATGCAATTCCATTTCCAGGAGAGCGACATTCTGGTGACCTCTCACCCGTCATAGCAGCGGCAGCAGAATTGTGCGCTGTACTGCCACCAGGGAGCTGGCCCCCCAGTTGCTGTTGCAATGACAGCATCGCCGCTGCTGCTGCACGCGAAGATGCTTCACCGCAGCACCGCAGACTCAGTCGTTGCACAACGCCTAGCGGAAATGTCGGAGGCTCCTCTGCCGCCATGCCTAAGCAAACATAGCGAGCATTATGAGACATATCCCACATGCAAGTCTCTACATACACCCCCTCATGCGCGTCTCTACATACACTCCCGCATGCGCGTCTCTACATACTCTTCCACATGCAAGTGTCTACATACCTACATGCGCGTCTCTACATACACTCCCGCATGCGCGTCTCTACATACACCCCCGCATGCGCGTCTCTACATACACTCCCGCATGCGCGTCTCTACATACACTCCCGCATGCAAGTCCCTACATACACCGCATGCAAGTCCCTACATACCACACATGCAAGCTTCTACATACACCACATGCAAGTCTCGACATACCCCTTCGGAAAGCGAAAACAACGGATGCAGTCCGTGCATTTTGTGCAAGATTTCTGACAGAATGCTCATTAGAAAATCTGCGACTTTTAGGCTAAGCCTTAACTTTTCCATTTTTTTAAGAAATACAAAAGAAAAGAGGCGCGCTGATGAAAAAAACCGGTAAAGAGCAACCCAACACCTGATAATACCAGCAGGTCTATAATTTCATTACCCCTGGAGTTGCATTGCATGCATACCAGAGAGCGCAATTTGTTTGCGGCGGCGATCTGAGAGCAGCTGATACGCCACAGACTCGCGGCTCCTGGGGAAGCCTACATGTCCACGTAAACAGACTGAGGGGTCGCTAACGTCATATCCCAGCTGCACGACGCACAAGAACAAAACAAATACCTCCAACCGAACCTTCAAAAGCGCCCTCTCCTTAGCCCTCAATAAAGGTTGCACTGCACTGCATTGCATCATCACGCGCTTCCCCTTGCTCACAAAGGTAGCAGATCCCTTGCTCACAAAGGTCGCAGACTTTGCCGGATCGATCCGGCAAAGTCTGCGTTTTCCTCCCTTCCTCTCTCCCCCTTCATCCCCTTGCCAAAAAGCCTAGCATTACCCTCTGAGCGGTGGCGCGTTGCACCCCGCCAAAACGTGGAAAAAGCTTCTTCCAGAATCCCCTTCTCCCTACCTTCGACATTTGATTGAGAACGAGGGCGTCTGGAGGACCGCAGAAGCTAACCCTCGGTTTGATTGAGCGCAGATAGTCAGGCAGACGTTCCTGAAACCACGGATGCTCTTTAATGCCTTCTAGTCGAATCCGCTTGCTTGGATCCACAACCAGCATTTGTACGAGCAAATGCCGACTGCTAGCGCTCAGATGGCCAGGCAACGTGAAACTCCCTGAGGCTCACACAGCATCCCACACCGACCCTCCACCATCCCTCGCTCCGGTACGCAGCGGGCAGGCAGGCAGAAGCGTGTGCATGCAAAAAAAGCAAAAAAAGAGAGCACTTGCTGAGAGGGAGTCGTCGCGCGCTACTCGCCACGCCGCCGCGTCGATGCAGCAGCCTCTACACCGACCACCCACCATGCTTAATCTTTTTAAAGAGGTTGGGAACATGCTCGTCGTCGAAAGGCAAAGAACCGCAGAGCAAAGCATAAAGTATCACTCCAAAGGACCACACATCTACCTGCACACAGACGCAGGCAGCTCTCGCGGCTTGAAGGCAGATCCTGGAAACAAGCAGCAGTTGATACACGACAACTTCCCCCCTCGCCTCCCTCATACATACGCCTGCTGGGACCCACACCTCGACCTCTAGCAGCAACGCCTTCCCCCCCCCCCCCCCCCCCCCCAACCCCCCCCCCCCCCCCCCTCCCCCCCCCCCCCCCCCCCACACCCCTACAACACATGGCTTGCAAAACCCACTTTCTAAAAATCGCCAACGCACACCAACAGTAGCGAATTCGCACCATCAGCGTGAAGCCTGCATTCTGTACAACAGCGAAACATTAAAGAACCACAGCCAC